TAGGACCCACATGGCGTACAAAACCCGATCTCCGTCCGTATGGTAAATACGGGTCATGCAATTCTCTCGGTTTTCTTTTTTTTTTTTCTTTTTCCTTTTTGTGTTTCTCTGATTGTATTTTGGAACACTAGTGGGTCCTACTTCTTAGTGTTTTGGACCCTCCGCGGAGTCAATTGAGTCCTCAAGTCCTCAACAGCGAACAACTATCGAATTTCTTGTTCGGTTTCGCCGAACTACTGCCGTCACTGGACGGGAAAAGCCCTTAAATGACCGCTTTGGGAGGCCATCCTTCTCCCGGTCCACCCGAGACTCGATAGATGAACCCGAGTATTTTTAGCGTAGCCATAACTTGAGTCGTATTGATTAATCTGATAACTGATTGGTTATGTATCTTGTTGGTTGGTTGAAATGTCTTATAGTAATTTGGATTTAATTGACGTGAGCTTGCTCGCTGCATTGGCATTCTTGTCACTAGAAGGAGTACTACCATTAACTAAGTTAGAAAGTTTCTAAGTATTATACAATCAAGAGATTGTTCGCTAGGGTGATTATTATTCATATATTTTGTCATCACTGAGTCAGTTGCTGTTAGTCACTGGAGAAAGCGAGACAGAGAGGAAAAAAAAAAAAAAATAATGGGTCCATCACTTACAACGGTTGCTGGAGATGGTCTCGGTCAGGTGCCGTTGAGTTGACCCAGACGCTGACACTCATGCCATTCACGGGGAATACCCCATATCCCGACGCATCGATGGTAACAACTTTCTCGTGGCTCTGCATAATATCTGTCCACTCCTCGTTGGCGTGCTTCGGTCCGACGTACATGCGCTTTTCTGCTGCCGCGCCGTTACTCATAATGCAGGCTAGTCCGGAAGGATGGCGCGCGTTTCCGTAACGGACAAATCCTGTTGTCTTGGTTAGATGCAGAAATTAAATGATACGTGTAACGTATTCATGGACAGAGTTTCAATATAATTAAAATAGAAGCCAAGAAAGATGAGAAAAAGTAAAAGGAAATACAAGTGCTCACCTATACAGTTGGCTTGGTCAAAATAATCCTGCTGTTCTCCATAAGCATACAACTTTCGAGCCCGTGTGAGAATCGGGAGTTTGCCCTTGCAGGCTCGCTTCAATGGCTTGTCTCCTAGAGTACCATAGAGGTCTCCGTAGAACACACATGGATGCCCATCTTTGCGGAGGAGCACCAATGCATATGCGAGCGGTTTGAAGTATTGTGCAACTGGGTTCTTCGGTCTGTTAGTCGATTGGTAGGGTTTAGGCAGAAAGTAGGGTACTCACTTCAAGCATTTGCCCGGGTACCTTAATGTTGTCAGTACAATTCATTGTTGAGGGAATAAAAGTTCACTTACCGTATCATGATTCGAAACAAATGTCTGTAGGAAATTGTTGTCAGCATTGCAGTTCTTTGCCGGATCTACCACATCAACTCACCAAAGCATTCTCAGGTTTGCTCTGCACCAAAGTACCCTTGAATATCTTGCGAAGATCACCTCCCTTTGTGTACGATGTCCTGCACAAGTTCACAACGAGAGGCACATCAACCGCCGTCACCGAATGATCCATCTGCTGAAGATATCCCACGAGATCCTTTAAATCTCCCGACCAGTATTCGCCGATGACAAACAGATCCTTGTTAGCCGTCTTGCGGACATGATCAATAAACTCCTTCTGGAAGCCAGCAGAAAAATGCTTCGCGGCGTCCAGTCGCATGCCACTCAGAGATAGCTCATTTGTTATCCAGGTTCCCCAATGAAGGACGTCTTCCCGAACCTCTGGATTGGAATAGTCCAGATTTGCAAACATTAAATAATCATAGTTGCCATTGTCCTTGCCCACATCTTGTGCCCAATCCTTGCCTGGCGCATGGATCTTGAAGATGGCATTTTCTCTGCGCGATTCGTCCCAGTCCACACCATTGAAATGCTGCCAATTATATTTCATCGAGCTGTACTGGTCGCCGCGGCCCTCGAAGTCAAAACCGACCCAACCCTCAATTTCAGTGGGCTTGGATACCTCGACATTTCGTCCTGTGCGAACAACAAACTTGAATCAACCAATGATCCGAGAATAAAGAGTAGATGAAAAAAAAAAAAAAAAAAAAAGGAAAAATAAAGGTCATACGATTAGGATCTACTTTAACAGCCTGGAACCGTTCGGGATAATCCGCCCCGGCTTTATGATTGAGCACCGCATCCCAGTATATACCAACACCCAGCGACTTTGCTTCTTCCACAAGGTCTTCAAGCTCCCTCCGAGAGCCCCATTTGGTGGTTCGGGATCCTTTCTGATCGAACTCGCCTAGATCATACAGGTCATATATATCGTAGCCATTACCCGAGGGGTTCATGGCTTTGCAGCCCGGAGGAATCCAGATATTGTCGATGCCGATCTCTTTCAACCCCGGCAGAGCATGTTGCAGACGTCGCCAGTGGCATGTATCATGTGGTACGTGCCATTCAAATGCTTCTAGCAGCAGAGTGTTGTCGGGGGCATTCCATGACGGGCGTGATTCCAGATCCCGAGCTGCTTCTGTTTGTATATAAGACGCATTAGAGTATGTAAACAATCATAGAGTTCATGAAGTATATTGTGGGGAGCTAACCCTCAATCTCCTTCCATTGCTGTTGTTGCTGCTGTCCCTTTCTCCTCTTCGGAAAACAGCGGGAGAAAAAGGACACCATGACGATAGCCGACAATGGAGCGTATCCAGATCACAACCGTGTGCTAAATTCAGCAATCAATGCTATGAAAGCGTCGAGTCGTATAGATTAGTATCAAACCGTCGACCGTGTCATATGTAAGGACCATCGGGCAGAGATTAGTCTAGTGGAGTCAAAGGCCAATCGTTAAGTGGGTCTTTTCACTATTTTTACCCGCGCCACCGGGTTTCAATTGTTGTTGTTTGTCTCACTGCTGTCTTGCCTTTTTCCTTTTTCCTTTTTCCTTTTTCCTTTTTCCTTTTTCCTTTTTCTCTTTTTTTCTTTTTTCTTGCTTCTATTTTCGCGCTTTTTCTTTTTCATCCTTCTCGTTTCTTCTCCTAACCCTCAGTCGGATGTTCTCCCGACACAACCCCGAAAGGCCTCTAGTACTAGTAAAGCTGACTTGATTAACCTTGTGTCATAAACATGTAGGATATTCTTGAATCGGCAGATTTCATAGGTAAAATATTATTATAATCATAAATATATTTTCGGAATGTCTTAACAGGAGTAGTAATATGTAGTAATATGTTGAAAATATATGTGCATATCTAAAGTTACCGGGATACCTCATATGAAAAAATATATCACTTTTGTCTTGCACTACCAATTATATATAAACATATACAACTAACGAGAACCAAAAAGAAAAAAAAAAAATATTAATAATAATAATAAAATAAAATAAAAAATAAAAAATATTAAAAAATTATTATACATATTCTGCGTACACATACATTTCAATACTAGTGAACATTAGGGGATAAGCATAACAACAACATTGTCACCCATGAGAAAATAAATGTGGTACCCTGGGTATCGTACGGTCGGAAAACGTGCAATAAGAAAAGTATATATACAGAAGAACGAGAGTAACATCATCAACACACCTCGACAGACCCAGATATATTATTGTCCCAAGCACTGGGCAGACTACAACAATACCGCAACAAGACTAGTCAGGAGAACAGAAAGCAAGACGCCGTGAGCGGCGCTGCTGGTGGTCTTGGCACCGAGAGATATCGCAGCCGCCGCCGCCGCAGCGCCCTTGGTCTTCAGCTCAACGAACGAAACGTTCGCAGACGAGTAACCGCAAAGACCACTGCCCGGCATGAGAGAGGCGGGGAAGAAGACTCTCGGTTCGCCCTTGTCCATGGGAACAGTCAGTTCACTCTGTGAATTGACCGTATAGTTCACACAGTTAAGGACATCCACAACCTCCACGCCTCCGTTGTAACTCACCGGCATAGTGAGGTTGTAGGCACTGCTATTGCTGCCCTGAGTGGACAAAAGCATGACTACCTGTCGGCCCTCGACACCTTTGCGGAAGGCCAATTCACTACCACCCCGGAAGATGGGGTATGTTTGGAGACTGACGTAGTTCGGATCAAGCTTGTAGGCGTGCTTACGGATGGTGTTCAGTTTTGCGATCAACTTGTACAGCTCGGCGTCGGTGTTGTAGTTGGTGAGCCAGATAGCTTCACGATTATCAGGCGTGCCCGGTCCGTCCAAATGCTGCTCTTGGCCTTGATAGATCATAGGAACGCCATCGTAGAGGATGGTGAAGGTTAGAACATTCTTAGCAAGCTGTGTTCATTCAAGTTAGCTCTGGATATTTTTGTTTGATTGCGCTGGTCTCAGTGCATACCGCGATATCATCGGTCATACTAGCAAATCGGGCGACATCGTGGTTTTCCGAGAACGATGCGAGGGCGGTCACATCGTCGCAGGAATTCTTCATGATTTCCACCTGGTTGGCCAAGTCGCTAGTATTGCCCAGGGTGAAGGCATTGAGGACCGAATAATAGACGGGATAATTGGGGACACTGCCGATGTAGTTATTCTGGTATTCACAGATGGTGTCGACTTCCTGCTGCAGGACTTCTCCGGTCATGAACGCGCCGATGGCGTCGCCAAAATTCTTCAGAAAACCAGGGTCTACATGCTTCGCAGCATCAATACGCAGGCCATCGATCGAGTAGGTGGAGATGATTTCCTTGGCCCATTTTTCCAGTGTCTGTTGTACGACCTCATGTTCCGTGAATAGATCGGGCAATGCTACCTTGTTGTCTCCGGTTTGACACAGCTGGGCGTTGGTGTAATTGTTCCAGTCGGTAATCTTACAGTACGGGTGAAAGTAACTGGAGTCGTTGAAAGGAGTGAAGACCGAATAATCAATATTCTTGGCCGGGTCCTTGCCGTTGGTCATATATGCCATGTTGTTGATGACCGTATCCATCATCAAGTACATACCACGTGAGTGGAGAGCCTCACTCAGGTCGAGCAGATCCTGGTGGGTACCGAAATGTGAGTTGAGTGAGTACAGATCCAGGGGCCAATAGCCATGGTAAGCCTCTCCATAGGACACGCGGCCCTCGATGTTTTCTATGATCGGGGAGATCATGACCGCATCGAATCCCATGCCCTGGATGTAGTCGAGCTTGTCAATAGTGCCTCGCCAGGTACCGCCACAGTATAGGCCCTGAGTGGTGTTGCACGGGGCGGTCGTTGAGCCATCAGTGCGCGCGAATCGATCTGTCATGGTTTGATAGACGGATCTTGACTTCCATTCTGCTGTGGTTGCAGCCAGGGCTGATCCTACTAGGCTGGTAACCAAGACGGCACCTGCCCATCGCCCCAGGGATGACGACGAAACCATGGTCGCGGGAGTAATTTCCGGTGGATCCTTAACTCGTGTAACCCCAGTTCATGGAGTGACAAGCTGATGGTCGATCTTTGTGGAGATCGTCTGTAGGCTCTGCCGTTTAAGCTCAAATGGCGCACCTGAAACAGTTCGTATACGCGTTTTGTGGGGATTTGAACGGGAGGAGTGGCTGATATTGACAATGGAACACCACGAATGGAAGGAGGGAATGACGCGTCCAAAGCAATCAATCAAACAACAAATAAAGGAGTGACGAGTGAAACAATATGCAAATGTAAAGAATGACAGTGGTCAGGTCTTAATGATCGACAGAACGAGGGGATGAATAAGGAATGACAGTGAGAACGATTGTTAGAAAGGAACGAACCATCCTAGGAGAGAGAGAAAAGGACGGGAAAGGAAGGGGGGAAAGAAGGAAGAATAGAATAACAAATAAGGTTCCTGGGGAACGTTGCACTCGAAAAATGGATTGAAGAAAGGTGGATCTAGAGCGCAACTGCAAAAGAACGCCGGCGTGCCCTAAGTCTGTTCGGTGTATATACATGCAACACGTCCATACCCGCAATAGATGGATAGAATATACAATAGTTCCTCTAGCTACTCCATCGGCCCTGTATATATCTGACCATGGTCACTCTCCTGCTCAGTGGATTGAAATTTCAGAGGAATTGATCATTTTACTCATTTTTAGGGTCACTGTGATGGTCTTCCGATCCCCCCCCCCCCTGGAAAGCCCCCTCATTTTCCTTTCCAAGCCTTCGGCTATGGAGAGCCAAGCGAACTTCCGTTTATATCCGGTCACATGCCTAGTCCAAATTTTCTTAATATCATAGACTAGCATGCGCGGAGGGGAAATGCTGAAAAGAAGACATGAACCCTCTGTTTCGTGCCTGAATCATGTATGGTAGCTGAATTGATGTACAGCTACTTTCGTGAAAGCTGACCTCAACCCCTCCAGTGCAACCGTCACATCAAGTTTTCCATATTAGGACAAGACGCTAGTTACCCCTGGGATTTATTGTGGCCACCTCGGCATTCTTTGCGGTCTTGAAATGCCTAGAAAGCCCCTCTCGCCCTGCCCTAAAGAGCTGGATAATAAGGCTACTGCCAGGTACAAAGGGAACAAGAAGCTGGGAATACTCGGGAAGGGCCGATGACCCGAGACAATGTTTGTGGAACAAGGTGTTTGAGACATCCCTCCTGGGTAATTGATCGTCTGAATCGCCAATAGGATGGCAATAGTGCCTGGCATTTCCCATGGACATACATGGGGGATCTGTTAAGCAAGTGAGACAGTCAGGCCATGACCTATGCCTGCCCAGGGAAGTATCCCCGAGTGGGTGACCAGTTCACGCAGTGCTGGCATTTCGCATATAACCTGAGATAATTATGGGTCCTGATCGCACGTTGCATGCTGGGGAAGTTAATGGGACCACGATCAGGGCAGCTGTTTTCTTTTTAGTCACCGGCTAAAAAAAGAAACAAAGAGTCCAGTGCCCGGTCCAGCGGCGAGGGCAGCGTTGGGCTTTTAGATTAGCCAAAACTGCCCACTGGCGGTGGTGACCTCAGTAATACCGGCTAGGACTACCAAAACCAATGTCTGGGCAGAGTCATGGTAGCGTTCTCGTTAGTCCATCCTCTTCCTGCCAATTGACTTGACTGAGTGGCGTGGCGGATGGGAATGTCTTTGACCCAAGCACCAATTAGGGGGCAACGAACCGAGTGGAGCCGATGGGTCTTAAAAATTGAGTAAAATCACCCAATTCAGTCTAGGCAATCAGCTCAAGCTTGCCATGACCAGGGCTTATGCTGGAAATATTAGCTTGTTCTTTTCTTTTTCTTTTTTGAGTTTTCCCTCGTCTCTGTACTGATACAGAGGCTTGGCCAAGGATCTACGGTCCGTGTTTGGATTGGACATCCAATCTAAAATTGTCAGATATCGAACTCAATAATACGAATGAATTATTTGATACAATATGGAATACGGAGTACGGAGTACTGGGAAAGCCATGTAGGATCATATTGTTCAGTGTGGACTATTAATTTCAAAAGGAATAGGTCAGCTTCGGCTATTCTGAAATGGGGATATATATATAGCCCTATGCATCAGTATAATAATGATCATTGGACAATAAGTAAGACATTATTCCAATAATTTGTACGCTTTCCGTTTTTTCCTCTCTCATTTTTTACTATCTTTTTTTTTTTTTTTTTTTTTTACTAACTATCTGGCTCGATCAGACCCTTTCCCAGTTGTCTCTCGGTCAGACACCGGAGGTTGAACTAAAGACCCACGGGAACCCGAAAAAATACGGGCTAAGAAACCTTGGACATCGTATATAATTGGCCAAGACCCACCGAGAGTCTGAGGTATTGAAACCGGATTGGCGACATCCCGATACACTAGCCGTGGATCTGAAGCAAGTTAGTGACTGGAGTCCGAAAGGCCAATAACCCTAATATCCAAACAGGGTTAGCTGTAGCCAAGAATAAAAATGAGGTCAAGAGGTTAAGGACCCGCCGTGACAGTGTTCTGGAATTTCCAATCTGTCTCCATGTTGTCACTTCCTCGACCTGGTTTTACCTGTTCAGGTTTAGAAATAAAAT